TCTTGATTTTCACCGGTGACAGGACCGTGAAAATGTTGAAAGGAATGTGCATGATGACCATTGGATTTCACTGTCCTCAGGATTACTGACGATAGGATTACAGTGACGGCGAATAACTAATATACGTAAACACATTCAAACGTTTAATAATCATAATCATTCATTAATTCATTTTAATGATTAATTAATTTCTTTGAAATAATATAATTAATTAATTTCAACAGTATAACAATTATAAATTGAAATCAATTTTTGATTAAGAATTATCGTTACTTCCTTTTCCTGTACGTTCAAGGTAAGAAAAAGAAAAGGAAAAAGACAAAGAAAAAAAGAAAAGAAAAATATTTTCAATTATAAATTTTCACAAAGTTTATATATATATATATATATATACTCACTTTGAAAGCCATCGTAATTACTCGAATATCCTCCGTTAAGTTTTTAAATAATGGATTTAACTTGATAAGTAAAACTTATTGTTACACCGTTGATCGTTCGATATGAGAATGACGCTCGTTAAGATAGTTCCTTTGCCTTTTATAGATCTAGTTTTGAAGTTTTCATAAGATCCATTCCTTTTTGGATCTGCGTCTTGGACTTCGATTGAACACCCCCACCCTTGCTTCTCTCTCTCTCTCTCTCTCTTTTTTTTTAGTTACATTACAAAACACAATTATTCAAGATAGAACAAAAAAAAAGATAAATATTCGTCACGTTGTTCGCTCGAGCGTAAATTAACCGATCTAAGATTAATGGATTTTGGGATTGGGGTAGGGCGGATTGTGAGCGGGGCGGGGGGGGATGGGAAGGGAGGGAGGAGGAGGTAACGAAAGAAATGAAAGAAAGAAAGAAAGAAAGAAAGAGAGGAAAAGAAAGATCTAAGAAACGTTTCAAACTCTTTTTCGGGAATGTTACCGAAGCGAAAAAGGCAACATCGTAGCTTCGATAACTTGCGTCACGCACGGTGGATTTATTCCGACTTATGTTCGTTGTTACGAATGATCGACTTTCGTTCTTTCGATTAAGAAAAAGTCTTTTGTCATCGTCCCAATACTATCTTCTTTTCACAACAGAATAGAATTTCATTTCGATTATAACGAAAGGTAGGTAAGCACGACCAATCAATCGGTTTTGATACAAACAAGAACGATCTCCTCTCTTCTCTTTTTCTTCTTTTTTCTTTTTTTCTTTTTTTTATTATTATTATTATTATTATTCTCTATTTATTTGCTTTAATATTGATTATTATTCACGTGCCAACGTAACATATTTTTCATGCGTCTCGTTGCTACAATTTTTCTTCTTCTTTCTGCTTGCTTGCTTGCTTGTTTGTTCGTTTGTTTGTTTGTATGTATGTTTGTTCTTTTTTTCTTTTTTTCTTTTTTTTCTTTTTCTTTTTTTTTTTTTTTCTTAAATTATTCGTCGAAATAATTTCAACATCGATGGTCTATTACTCTTTGATATTACTTAACGCTAATTAACCTGTTAACCAACTTGGCAAAAGATATTTAACTTTCCTTTTTCTTCCCTTCTATTCTATTCTCTTTCTTTTCTTCTCTTTTTTCCTATCTCCCCTCCCCTCTCCACGCTTTCTTTTTCTATCGTCAATAAATAATATCATTTCAAGAAATTCGAAATAACATTGACGATTATTCATCACAAATTATGAATGATAATGTTAATAGAAATTATAGTTGAAATTATAATATGTGATCTTTTGAAAAAAAAAGAAAAAAAAAAAAAAAAAAAAAAGAAAAACAGCAAACAGAAGAGCCATGAACGAATGACGTTCAGAATTTTACATCGATGATATAGCGTTTAAATTATAATTTTATTAATCAATATTTTACTCTATTAAATTACGTTAGATTATTAACGTTCATCGATTGAAAAAATTTTCCCAGCTTTTTAACGAGCTTTAAATAAACGAACGCCAATATCGTTTCGTGATTAAAAGATTTCTTTTTCAGGAAGAGTTTGTAGAAGAAGAAAAAAAAACAAAAAACAAAAAAAAAAAGAATGAACAAACGGAGAAAAAAAGAAAAAGGGACGAAAAATAATACGTTCGATGAATTTTACAAGATCCTTCTTCAATTTCATTACGATGATCATCCTGAAAATATTTCGACAATTTCAATCGTACACGACGATCGTTCACTGAGAAACATATTATGTAGTACTTAGGTAAGGGAGAAAGAAAGAAAGAAAGAAAGAAAGAAAGAAAGAAAGAAAGAAATAAAAGGAAGGAAAAAGAAGGAAACAAAAAAAAGGAAAGAAGAAAATTATATTTCCGACCTTTCGAAACGAAAGAGGATCGATTATTTTCTCCATTAGGGAAATGAAAAAAACGAAAGGTTCGATCTAGGCTCTCTCTTATCTCAAAAGAAGTTTGTCGACGCGTAGTTATCAGAGGAAGGATGAAGGAAGGCCATAGTGAGTAAGTACATAGGTCCAAAGGTTGAAGAGTGAGAAAGATAGAGAGAGAGAGAGAGAGAGAGAGAGAGGGAGACAGAGATAGATAGAGAGATAAAGAAAAAGAGAGAGAGAGAGAGAGAGAGAGAGAGACAGTGTGAGAGAGAGATTTTGGCACACGATGTGCTGGAACGGCGGAAGTGCTCGAAGAGGCGCTCGGCTTTTGAGTTATGACACTTTTTGAGTGGAGAGAAGTCGCATTGTGAAAGGCGCATCCGGCTCCAGCGTAATATCCTAGCTCGATTTCAGGTCCGGAGGCCGACGATAAATCTGCCTTAAATAAGATTTGCCGGCGACACACACGAGCGAGAATAAAAGGAACGTTAACGTTGAAGGACTGAAGAGTGAGAGTGAAAGAGTAAGAAAGACATGGAGAAAGAGAAATAGAAAGGACGAGAGAGAAATAGAGAAAGAAAAAGATTTAATTCCTTGTTAGGCTTTACGTATCCTTTCTTCTCTCTTTCTTCAACTTTTCTTTTCCTTTATCATTTTATTTCTTCCTCATTCTGAATTCAATTTTGTCGCGAATAAACGAGCTGTCCCTTTAGCAATCTCAACTTTTAGCGAGGTAGAAAGAAAAGGAAAAAGAGAAAGAAAGAAAGAGATAGATAGATAGATAGAGAGAAGGAGAGAGAGAGAGAGAGAGAGAGAGAGAACTAGGTAGTAGATGATTAAGTGATATTCCTGATATTAGAATAAAGTTAATAAACGTTGGATATGAATTTCATTATTCCAGTTGATCCATGAGAGTAAGAGAGAAAGAGAGAGAGAGAGAGAGAAAGAAAGAGAGTAATATGAATAACTCGGGGTTATATGCGGATTAATACCTTTCGTTTTGATACGTAAAACGATCGATTGGATGTTCGGATTTCTCGATAAGAAGAATTTCGTGGTAACGAAACGTCCATAAATGTCGCGAAACAAGCATCCGTGCTTGTATTCCGATGAAACGAAACCCGTGTTATCGAGGCATCCTACGGGACAAGGCTTCACGATGGGAGACAGTTCACGCGTGGAAATAGGACAAATTGACTGGCCCGTGTTCGACGATAAATCACGATATTCCATTTTAGTGCATTCTCGTCTCTAGCAAGAGCTGTTATATTTCCGGACACACATACACACACACACACACACATACACACACAAGTATATATATATATATGTATGTATGTATATATGTATGTACCTCTACGTATATGTATGTATACATGAATGTATGAATCTATATATATATATATATAATAAGTATATTTCTTGTTTCGCATTTTGATATGTATATGTGTGTATCTAAATACATGTCTTTTTTAAGGATCACAGATGTGCGGTTCCATTTTATATACCGGATGAAACGCATTTGACGTTCTCAGTTTGTATAAATCTTTTAAATTATACCTTTTAGAGTGAAAAAAAAAAGTTACGTATGCATTCAAGAGAGATATTACGTGACGCGTGAATTAACTCTTTTTGTTGGTCGACGTAGTTGGTTTCGGAGGATTAAATACGATTAAACTTTTTGTTACTTCAAATGTTGTAGGTTTTCTCTCTTCTTTTCTCTCTCTCTCTCTCTCTCTCTCTCTCTCTCTCTTTTTTTTGTCTTTCCTTCATATCGAATATTCAAAGGAATAACTTTATTTATTAAAATTACTCTGAATACTTTCGATCTAAGAATATTAATTTTCTTCTTCTTCTTCTACTACTTCTTCTTTTTTTTCTCTTTTTCCTTTTTTTCCTCATGTTTTTCTTTTCTTCAAATTCAATCACAAATATATATATATGTAAGTATAAATCAAATCGATACTACGTAGTAATTGTATCCTTTTTATCGTGGTAATACTTTCGATAAGAAATTTCTAATCAATTTATACGTCCTCCGATTATATGAATTATTTTCAATTAAATATCAGTCAAAGAGAAGGGAAAGGACGAGAGGGAAAATTTTTCATGTAAAATAATCGATGCGCGTTGAAATATACGGTGTATTAAATATCAATGATATTCGAGAAATTAATTTTTTCTAAGTAATTCAATTCGAATGTTAAAAAAAATCATTCAATCTTCTCATTAAAAGAAATAAAAAAAGAGAGAGAGAGAGAGAGAGAGAGAGAGAGAGAGAGAGAGAGGAAAAAACAAGACGTGCATGAGTTCTTTCAAATCTTAAGAGTAGAATAGAATAGAAGGAGAGTAGGGCGTCAGAGTTACGGTTTAGAATCTAAGTAAGTTAAGTATTGCGGTCAGCCACGAATAACCTAGTCACTTAATCTATTTTTACAGTTTCTACAAAAAGGGTCTTCTCACAGTACGTAGGAAAAGGCCCTAAAGGAATTTTCAAGCTTGTCACGTTCGTTGACTCACACCTACGAAATTTCCACGTTCTCGCGGTCGTTCAGGATCCTGACAGCTTTCTTCAACGGCTTGGAAGCTCGCATTTACGTTGAAACGAAAAGGCCTTAACAAGGATGAACGTGGAATGAAATAGAGAGAATGAGAAAGAAAGAAAGAAAGAAAGAAAGAAAGAAAGAAAGAAAGAAAGAAAGAAAGAAAGAAAGAAAGAAGAAAAGAAAAGAAAAGAAAGAAAAAATAGTCCATTTGAGATAGACATCTTTTTTCTCTTTAAATACTACAATTTGACGATACAATATCTCGTTCGTCCATCAATGCGTCATTTGAGTTAAGAAAAAAGCTTTCTTACAATTTGTATTTCGTGTCTCTCGTATTTCTCACGTCAACGCGTTGTATGAATAACGTAAAGAAAAAAAAAAGGATAACGTTGATAACGATAGTAATAAAAACAGAGAGACAGTGAATGAAAAAGAAATAAAGACACGAGACAAAATAAGAAAGAAAAAAAAAGTGAAAGAGAAGATTTGTATACATATATATATATGTCTTCTTATTCGACATCGTACGCATCTTCCAAGAGTAAACTCTGTGCAAATTTGGAACAATACGTAATACTACGAAATATTGTCTACATATATATATATATATATATCTTCCTCTCTTTCTCTCTCTCTCTGTGTCTTATTGTAGTTGTTACGATTCCCAAAGGATGAATCTGTAGATTAGTGTC